GGGGTGGAGGGTCTGGGTTTGGAGTATCCGGATGTTCCCTGGGGCTGGGTTCACTGGAGATCTCTGGGACTGGGGGGCCGTTGCCCCCCTCTGGAGGTGCTTGGGTTGCCTCGGGGGGTGGACTACTGGCGGTTGTGAGTGGGGCCCCTTGGAGGTCTTGGCGGCGGCCATGGATCACTGCCTGGCGGCTGCATTGCCCCTGGGCGGGTCTGGGTGGGGGCCTGGGTGCTCGGGGTGTTGGGGTGGCCGGCCCCATGTGGGGATCTAGGCGGGATCTTGGGGGTCGGGTCCTGACATGTATGCTGCCGGGAAGAAGGCAGGAAAATGCAGCAGTGCCTGGCCCGGGTTCAGGGGCCTCGGGTAGATCTTGGCTCCTCTGCTGTCCCATCACAGGGGAGGGGGAGGTCCAGGAGGGGGAGGACCCAAGATTACCTGGATGTCCTATGTCTTATATATTCTGGAAGTTGTGCAAATGCAGGGATGGGCATAGATCTTCTGCTGGGGTGGGGCTGGGTTGGTGCCCTCGGACTCCTTGAGGCTCTGTAATGCTGCTGCGTTGGGCCCTGGCAGGATGGGCTGGGGTCTCTGTGCCCTGGGTGGCAATTTGACAACAGAGGTGCCTATTGGGGCCAGTGGGGGAGCTGGCTCCCTGGAGGGCTAAGCCCAACCAGCCATTCCTCCCCATCCCCGCATATTTCTCTCCTCCTGCTCCCTCATATCATCACAAAAACATGCGAGTTCCGGTGCCCACTTCCAATTTTAAACTGCACTTAGACACCGAGGGCTGTGGGTGCAAGTGGAGTGGTGCGGTGGCATCAGCTGGCATAGGCCAGACAATGCCCGCACTGCCCGCTCACCACAGCCATGGAATACACCTCATTAACACACAACACTATATTGGAGCAGGTGGAGGGAGACTAGGGGTCTTAGCACACCTCTGTTGTCGCTTGGCTTCCTGGGGCTGGAGGCTAGGAGGGAGATCTGGCCGTCTGGTTGGGATCTGAGGTGGTGGGTTGCTGTGCTCAGCGTTGGGCGGGGGGGGGCTGCTCATCAGCACCCCAGCAGAAAGGGTCAAACTCTGGTAACCGATGATTGTTGTACCCCATGTGCAGCAGTACCGGGGCCAGAGTGAATAGGGTGTGTATGGGGAGCATGAGTGGATGTCCGGCGTGCATTTTTGTAAGTCTTTGGTTGTATGTGCATGTGTGAGCATGAGGGAGGGAGTGTGTGACTGTGCTTGTGTATGACTCTATATGTCAGGTGGGGCCTTTGACTCCTCCCGTCTCCTGGGACTTCTTTTGATGATATAGATCTTCGTCTCCCCTCCCCCTGCCACACCTGGTGTGGGGTGTGGTGCCTTGGTCTGCCTGAGTGTTCGTGGCTCCCGGATCAGGGGGTTTAAGATTTTTGGTGTCTGCCTGATCAATCCCGGTGGCAGCCTGGTGGGGTCTGGGTCCCTGGGCTCTGCTGGGTCCCCGGCGGGGGTGGTCACCCCTGGGTCCCGGGTCGCTGGGTCCCGGGCTCGGCTGGTTAGGGGGTGGGAGGCTGCGGGCGGGCCTGAGGGCTTGCCGCTGATGTCTCCCGGGACTCTGCCGGCAGCTGGTTGTGGCCCCCCGGGGCGATCCTCTGTGCCTCTTGAGGGGGGCGGGGGCCTTTCTGGTTGTGGTCTCCTTGGGGTTCCTGTGTTCTGGAGCAGCGCCTGGATTTCTGGGACTTGGAGCTCCCCCCGTCTCCAACGCATCTTTGGGGGGCAGATCTGTGGTCCCTCACACTCTCTATTGGACGCTCCTATAGATAAACCTTACATAAACAAGCGCGTGTACACACACAGGTGCTCACATGGTGCTCTCAAAAGTATGGGCCTGGGCACGTTCAACACAGGTCTTAAGACTATGGTGGGCACTTAATGCACTGTGATTTATTATCGTGCGACTGTTCAGTTAAACAATGTTGATTATATATTTCGTCATCAAGTTGATGCAGTGATAGCTTGATCTTGTTGTATTGTTGTTGTATTGTTGTTGTGTCCCATATTTTTATTTTTTTTTTTTGCTTTTTTTTCTTGTCTCTTTCTGCAGGTCTAGAAGCAGACTCTTGTTCATTATTGTTTATTTTTGTGGAACCCCCCACCCCCACCCCACCCCCACACCCCACCCACCCCCCACCCCTTCCCCCCTCTCCCCGCCTTTTGTCATTTCCTTTCTCTTTCACCTCTGACTCCGTGTCTGGTCGGAATTACAAAGCATTCAAAAACAATAACAATAAAGTTTTAAGTATCAGGCGTGACATTAAAAGCAGATGCTTTGATGCTCCACCTGAGAGTAAGGCCTAGTCCACACGTAGCCGGGTTTTTTTAAAAACGAATATCCGCCCCTCCAAAAACTTGCATCCACACCACAGCGTTTTAAAAAAAAACTCTGTCCACACGTACCCGGATAAATACGTTGTTAAGGACATGCCAGACCTGTAGGTGGCAGTACTTCCCCCGTTCTTAACCTCGTCCTTCGTCTGTGGTCTTCCGCAAGGAGCAGTAATTCCACTTGCAAAAACAAAGAAGCAGAAAGCGCTTGGACAATTGATGGATCGGGTAGTGACAGAGCGCAGCTCTGAAGGCTTCCATGATGCCGGCTAGTGTAAACACAGGTCGCACACGTGATGTCAGCATTTTTTGTCACGGAAAGTGACGTTGCGGACCTTAAAACTCCGGTTTTGTCTGTCCACACGCAGACACCCAAAACGGAGAAAACACAGATCTTCACTTTGGCTTGAGTTTTTAAAAAGATCCGTTTTCATGTGAAAAAACTCAGTTTTCGTGTGGATGACAGGCCAAAACGTAGGAAAATATCTATGTTTTGGCAGATCCCCGGCTACGTGTGGACAGGGCCTAAATCTGTAAGGCTTGTTACCAGCATTCGGACATCAATTCTGTTTGCTTCACAGCCAGACAGGACACGGTAAAAAAAAAAATAAAATTTTTTAAAAAGAGGCAGATTATGTGATGCACCCATCATTCCTAGTGCCTACTGTACAAGCCAGTGGGGGCATTGCTATGATCTCGGGTTGCTGCAGTTGGTCAGGTCTAGGTTCAGCAACAAGATGTGTTGGAAGAATGAGGTCAGCTGACTACCTGAATATACTGAATGACCAGGTTATTCCATCTTTCCTGATGGTATGGCCATATTCCAAGATGACAATGCCAAGATTCATCTGGCACAAATTGTGAGAGTGGTTCAGGGATCATGAGACATCATTTTCACACTGTCACGATACAAGGATGGTTAGGACCCAAAATGCAGATACCCCAGGATGACACGAGGCAGGAGTTGAATAAAAAGAAAAATCCTTTTATTTGTAGGATGTACCAAACAAAAAATAAGTCCAAAGGGGCAGGAAGCCAAAAGCCAAAAACTCCAGATAATGATCTGGAGATCCAAAAACACCAAATACTCAAGAAATAACAAAAACACTAGAAATCCAAAAAGTGAGACGAGACTGACACAATAACATCACAATGGACCAACACAACACAGAGACAAGACAGGGCTTATATAGACTGGGAGGAGCAATTAGGGAAACAGGCAGCAGGTGTGCGGAGTGAGGGCTGGAGGGAAAGCAGGTGAATACAGTTAACTAAATGGGGAACAGAACCAGAGGAGGGAAGATAAGCCTAAAACTATAAAACACAAAACTAAACCTAAAGACTGAGGGAAGGACTCACACACACACACACACACACTACACCGAGATGGGGAAGGACAGACACACGCACGCACACACACACACGCACGCACACACACACATACACCGAGCTGGGGAAGGACACGCACACACACACGCACACACCGAGCTGGGGAAAGACACGCACACACATACACACACACACACACACACACACACACACACACACACACACACACACACACTGAAATAAAAGACCTATATAAACTGAGGTGGGGAGACTAAGAGACATGAAGAAAACCAGGAGGGAGCTGGGGACAAAAAGGCTGGAGCTACAAAGACACAGAACGTGAAGGAACACCTGGAGGGGCTGGGGATGACCGAATGAACACAGGACCTGGGAGGAATGATTTAAAGGGCCACAAACAGAAGACACATAAATGAGATGCAGACAAAGGACACATGAGGGCGCTATGAGACACAAAAGGGGAATCTAGAGAGGGATGGAGAACACAAGGAGACACATGAGGGAAGACGCAGACCATGACACACACAGACCTTAACCCCACTGAGAACATTTGGGATGTGTGGAGAAGGCTTCGTGCAGCGATCAGACTCTAGCATCATCAATGGAAGATCTTGGTGACACATTAATGCAACACTGGATGGAAATAACTCTGACGTTGCAGAACCATATCTAAACAACGCCACAGCAAATGTGTCGTAATCAAAGCTAAAGGAGAAGCAACAAAATATTAGTGTGTCCTTTTTTTGTTTGGCCGGGCAGTGTATAATAAAAGGCCCTCGGGTCATTTTTACAGTATGTAATACAATACCAACTTAAAATTCTAATCCCACAATGGTTATCTTATCTAAATAATGGCTCTTGCAAGTGGGTAAACATTTCTGTGTGACAGAAAACATCTGGAACAGTGACCAATTAGCATTTTCCTAAAACCTGCTTCTCATTTCGGAAACACCAAAAACAATTTAGAAATCTAAATAAAACAAAAACAACCATCTCAGATGTTTTCAGGTAATGGTTCACTAAGATCATTCCATATTTCCTGAACTTCCAACTTGAGTTAAAGGACTTTCTTGTTCCTGTTCTTTCCTTGTTCTTGTGTCTTCTGGCTTGGATTTGGGAAAACCAGGTGACTTGCCTCCAGACGAGGCTTTAGAAATTCGCATCCTGCATGCAGCAAGGAATAGCCACCACTCGCCTACAGTCCAGCTGATTTTAATTCAGACGGCACGTTTCAACTCGGCATTAATGATTATAAAATGATAATAATGACGGAAGCAAACCCCAACCACAGGGATTAAATGAATACATAACTTTATTTAAATAAATGCTTTGTCATAACAAAAAAGACAAAGGTTAAAAAGAGTACATAAATTACAAGTTGAATAAATATTACACAGTGATACTTTCATAATTTGAGATTTTTTGTCTTTTTTATTTCTTATGTAGCTCCAAATACTGACCATTGCTTCCTGCTGTCCTCCTGCCGCCGATGGGTCTGTGAACACCAAATTATGAAACCCAATTGTGCCGCTGGTCTACAACCAAAAGTGTTAAGTACTCAGACTAAAAGCTGAACTGTCATTACTATCCTACTGAATCATGGAACATGAGTTTAAACCAAGTAGGAGACAGGAAATATGAGGAAACGTGCACAAAGAGCACCAACCAAATAAAAATAAAACTTCCAGATGTTTCATCCTCAAAGGTTGAGCTCCTAGTTGCAGTTTAAATTCCACGGATTTCTCCTGACCCTGAATCTGCTTCACTAACTGTATGTAAGGATGCATGCAATTGGTGACCCCACATCGGGTGAGTGGCTAAGCCCTGATAAAGCCCCCCCCCCCCCCCCCCCCCGCACGCGTCAGCTGTTGTGCAACAGGCAGTGAGAACGTTTCTTCTTGAGATACTTTCATGTGTCCCCCCCCCCCCAATTTTTTTTTTCAATATTAAAGGTCCCAGGCTTGAGCTTTTAACAGCCCCTGTCATTTAAAATCACCCAATCCCTTAAAGGAGAGCATGAGAACACGTCTAGTTCTTGTTGAAACTTCACAAAACAACCTCTTAGGGTGTCTTTCTCAACAGTAAGTAAATGAAATAAGTGCAAGCTGATTTTTTTAAAGTGGACATTTGGTAGCTTTACCGTCAGATGTGCATTTTTTCACTTGTATTTGCAGAAAAATGGCTTTAAAGCATCCCACAGATAAAAAAGAAAAACAAGAATCTTTGTTTATTGTAAAAGAAACTGAGTCATTGTCTTAAATTTATCTGACGTTTTGTACATGTAGACATCAGAATAGGATCTGTAATTTCACGGGAATTTAAAAAGATGATTCAGATCTCGTTCATGTTTGTCTTTAGATGGCCTCAGTTTAGAGAAACAGGTTTTTAATATAATGCTAACACGCTAATGCCGCATGATTTATATAAGCAGCTTCTGGAGGGAAAATCATAATTTCCGCAAGAATAACTACGTAATGCTAAGTTCACAATGGCAGAAATGTTCATAAAGTATGGTTTATAAAATAAATGTTTTCAGACTGTCTCATCTTTAGTCTTGGATTAGCCATTAGCTTCAGAATTCCCTCTTCAAAGGATGTCACATTCATCGTTAAATTCACTTTTACAAAGAAAGGCACTGATTTCCACAGACCCTGTGTTTATGGTGAGATTTTTGTTTTTTAAATGTGCTCCACTGAGACAAAAGCAGTAACTCCGTCTCTGTGTTACCCAGTAGACAACTCGATTACTAGGACTTACATTTACAGGCATTTACATAATTGACATGTTTTTGTTTCTACAGGAAAAAAGGAAAACAGTCATATTTAAACCATAAGTTTTGAGGGGAAACGTGGCTCAAATGTGGGTAGTCTTTACTTCACTGAAGGCAAAGAAAACGGCACAAACAAAACCATGCAAAAGAACACTTCACACAAACCAGTTAGAGAAGAAACCAGCCTGACTGGCAAGTTTGATCGAGGGGAAAAAATTAAGTTTAAAAAAAAATGCTGAATTCAAACTCTAGTCCCATGGCTGAAGCTGAAAGTCTTTTTTTTCACCAGTAGAGGGAGCTCTCTCTGCTCGGTCTCTCTGCATGGCAGTGTCTGCTCAGATAGGCACAGTTGGCTTTTCAGGCTAGCTATGAAGTCGGAGAGCCGCATTGCACGAGTTCATCTGCAAAGATGGATTTATTCGTCATGAATGCTCCGTGTCCCAAAAAATCGTTCTTTTCTACGAAAGAAAAAGGCCAGCCCCAAGACCACGTCAAGCGCTTTTGCAAAACTTGTTTCAAGAATATACAGAAGAGAAAAGAAGTCACACACCACATGCTCACGCTGTACACATGCTCACACGCTCAAACACACATTTACATTTCTAAGCGGGTTCACCTTTTTTATAAGTGCTCTGACGAAACCACAAACCCAAATGCACTTTTCTTAATTTTTAAAATATTGCTGCCAATTGTTCATTTACCCGACACGTTTTATATCCATTCCACGCATGTGTTTCCGCTATAAAGGGTCTGGATTTTCCCCACTCGTTCAGAAAGGGAACAAAAAAAAGTTTTCATTTTTCCTGCTCTGTAAGTCTGGAATTGTTTTTCCATCTTTTAACAAAAAAAGTCTCAAAGTGAAGAGGGGGTGGAGCATACAGGTGTGATTCAGAGAAGAGGCATGGGCTCTGGGTCATGTGGTGGTTACAGGATGGGGGGTGGTGGTGCTTGGGGGGTCTTCCTCACTCGTTGTTGCTGCTCTCCAGGTCTTTGCACTGAATGTCCCCTCCGCTATAGACCGTTCCTGGGATCTGAAGGCCGTATTTATCCACACACCAACAGATGCCTCGTTTGCGGCCGCGGGAAGGTTTGCACTGTGGATGTGAAAAACAGGAAACTGAATCACAAATGTTTATTTGCATAACTGTCCATTGTACGCACCAAACAGCAGGAACTGTGGAGGGATGTGCCCCTAACAACAGGAACTGCTGGTGATTGTAGTTTGTGGAGCTGCATTTGTGTATGTTTTCCTTTGCTGAGGATTTTTATACATTATGTGGCGTAAAACGATCAAATCTAGAAGACTGGAGCATTTCTGGATAAAAACACATTGGATAAACAAATCTGATTGCGTAACGCATGGACCAGCAGGGACAAGTCTGCTGCAGCAGAAAGTGGCACAACTCGGCAGGATTTGGAGTCTTAATTCCTGATATTTGGACGTCTTGTCTCGGAATGGATATCAGCAATGTGACTCTACCACTGATTTGCAACGTGGATGTTTTATCTCACAAAAAACACAAGCCTTGAGGTGTTTGTCTGTATGGTGGTGTTGCTAATGCTAACAGTTAGCTTCTATCAGCCAAGATATTCTCTGCTGTTTCCTGGATGTTAAATCAACAACAGCCACCTCTCCCGCTGTCTTTGTTCTTTCTTGGGCAAAAAATGCAACGCTAATGTTTTATCTCTACGAATAACACAAGTCTGAACATCTGCCGCCATGATTTGAAGTCACTAGTGCTAATGGTTTGCTCCTACTAGCCAAACATGCTGGCTAAATCAACAGCATTCCACAATCTCAATTCAAGGTCGGCAGGGCCATGAATGCTAATTTTCCCTGTGAATTATAAGAGGCGGGCTTTTATTGACTCGACACGTTCATGCCCACAAAGGCATACGTGACCAAACACACACCTGCTTGCGCTTGAAGAACCCTTTTCTGTCGCAGTTGGGGAGGTACAGAGACAGAGCCATCACACGAGAGGTGTCCTTCATGTCATGAATGATCCCGTCTAGTTTTCTCCTGCAGGGACCCTTCAAAGATAGTGAAAATCATAAATTATGAAACAAAATCGCCATCACACAGCTTAATAGGTAAAGAATAAAGTTTCCCCTGCCAAAGCCACACATTTCTAAACTCCACCCCCACCCGATCGGATCCTGGACTTTCAGCCATACTTACAAACTCGGGCTCATGCTTTTCAAGGGCCATAAAGGAGTAATCCACCGTGGGGCCTAGGGAGCGCTGCTTGCCGAGTGTCCTCCTCTTGTCCTTGCGCGCTGCAATGACTTTTTTACTGTTCACCCTGTCAATGGGGTTAAGTGGCACCTTGACTGGCTGCAGCTCTCCTATGTTTTCTGGAGTTATGGTCTCCTCGTGCTCTCGTGATTCACGATCTGCAGCAAAACAAAGACAGAAAAGTGTCTTAATACATAAACCGACGTTTATGGATGTGAATCAGGGCTCTTTGTAACCTGTGTGAGCCAACATCCTGGAACTCAGCCACATAGCTGAACAATGCTAAAAGAAATCCAGCTGTTTAAATGGGTTTAGCATCAGGTGGGGGCAGAGAGCGGCTCGAGACATTAGTGGTCACGACTTTCCAGATGTAGTTCCAGCTCCCCCAGGGGGCGCTGCAGTGTCAAGGGCCTCAGCAGCCCTGTTGATGGGATATTTACAGGTCGGGTCCTTTATCCTAAATCCAGCCCCTCCCCGGCCCCCTTTTCCTATCTTTGGGGCTCAGCTTCTTAAGCCCGGACCCCCAGCCTGGGGTTCTTTGAGGCCACATAAAGAGGCCCCTTCACCCCTACCACTTTTGGCTTAGCTGTTCCATAAGCATCGTTGTCTTGGGGACTTTGCCAGGCCCCTCCCGGCTGCAGCGCCGATGCCAACGGATGACCCTGGTTATATTTATCTGACGAGGAAACCCGCCGCTGAAAGCCAGAAGCAGAAAGGAATGTGCTGCTGGAGGACAACCCTGCCTCCGTACGTGGAGGAAGTGGTGTTTAACAAGCTGCTATAACGCTGCTCACGGGCACGTCGGTAGACAGCCATTGTTAAATCCAAGCACTGAGACGTAACAAGGACTCAAGCTCCAAGAACTTAATGTTCAAAGAGCTGGACACAGCATGAGCGTCTGGGAGTCTTTGGGAGGGGAGGGGCGGCTGAAGGCAGGAGGGGCATGGGGGGTTGATTACCAGAATTGGGCCTTTGGCTTCTGCACCCATCCCTTTGAAATTAATCCAACAACCCATGACTTGGCAGAGTTGGGTTTGTGTTTGGACGTGTCCTTGTGTCTCTTCGTCCAGACTAACGCTCGCTATAAATAAACACTCCAAACAAACATTCCTGTGCACACCGTGCACGTGACGGCTGTGGAAAAACTCATCATTTCTGCTCTGCAGTCCAATCGTTTCACCAGGAGCTTGATTGAAACACAGCTGGTTTTAAAGTGTGTTTTTATGAGTGAATTAGTAAAAAAAAAACAATAAAGTTCACAACAAAGAATATTTTGCACAACATTTTCAATCCGCTTCCAAACCAGAACTGGCAATGTCCCAAAATTCATCTTTTCTGAAGTCGGATCTGCAGTTCGGCCACAGAAACTCAGTTTTTCCATGCTATGGTTACCGAGCTTGTAAAGGAGGCTTAGAGGGTCTGGTTTAACTCCTGAAACTCAGCCAAGATGCTGGACGGAGGCCAAGTGAGCCGACTCATGTGCAGTTCCTTTCATTCGGGCCGAGTCCAAAGCCGTGCTGCTATCTCTCCCTCCCTTCTTCTCGAGCGAAAAGATTTCATTAGGATGAGAGGAGCGGAGCAGCCAACGGAGGTGCACCTGATACTGCTCTGTTTAAAAATTAACATCTGCTCACAATTATGCTTCATGAATATTCCAAGTTTCTTAACGGCATGAGTCCAACGCTGAAAGAGAAGCCGCATCTCTCTTGGATTATTGTTCTCCTGCAGGATCTTTAACGCCATAATTAAATAATTAAGAGAGCAACAACAATAATAAAAGATGGAGAAAATCGATTTCTCCATCTTTCATTGGATTTTTAACCATTAGGTTTGTTCTTCCCTCGTTTTAATTTGGTCTGCGGCTGCTCCGCCTCTGAAATTACATCTTTACCAGATGTAAGAACGCAGTGAACAGAGGCGCTGTTTAATCTCATCTGGGGCAGAGAAACAAGATAATTGAGGGGATAAACAAGTCTGAAGACCTGTGACACTTAAAGGACACGAAGGGTAACTCATCCTGCAGCATCAGCCGCATGCTCAATATTTGATAACAGCTCTGGGAACGCTGCAGCTTCCTGAGCAGGAAGCTGAGAATGTAAAGCGGTAATGTTGGAGATGTGAGACGTTTGATGCTAAAATGCTAATAAACCTAATTAAACCTGAAAACCTGGTTTTGGACTGAATTCTAATAAAGAAATGTGTTTGATTGTCAAGGTTTTAATTGTTGATCACCCAAAAGCGGGCGGGGCCATGTGAATAAGCAGGAAATAACAATCGTGTTCCAGTTTGGTCTAGTGGTTGGCTCGTCAGCCGTTCCTGTGGGGGAATAAGCTCTATTTCTCTCAACAGAAGCTGTTCAGCTGGGTTAAGTAGAAGGTTACAAGAACAGCCCTCAGACTTTGAGCAGACATTCTTTGAAACTGCGATCTAACCCCCGGCGATGTTAAAATCAACTTCAGCTACTGGAGCGAGGATGTTTTAGGGAAACTCTTCAGCCGTTTCATGAGCGGGACTCCCATTAACGGCCACCAGACCCGTATGTCCGGTTGTCGGAGGAATTTGTTGTGCTGAACAAAAATGTTCAAAGTTTCCTGCTTTTCTGAACGTGTGGCATAAAGGGCAGCAAGAACAATTCAAGGACCATAAATTGCAAAACAGGACTTATGAGGGGACGCAGGCCGAGATGCTGCAGGGCCGCATGACGGCTGTGAGCGAGGCGCATGGCTCCTCTACTGTACATGGCTAATTTTGGTCTGAGGTTTTGTCCCTTATTTGGGTTTGGGTTTTCACGCACGCATGCATGCAGCGTTTTCTTGGGTCACCGCCACCACAACACAATTGCTGGGTGTGACGAGTTTCTGGCTCCATTCAAGTTGCAGAATAAGCAATTTCACAAGAGCCAGGAGCTCCTGCAGGAAGAGAGACAAGCTCCAAATAAAATAAAAACTCAATCAAGCTCTGGGTCGATGCTCTTCCAAAAGTAAGCCTTCAAATGCTGATGAGAAGGTTCAAAGACTCAAAGAGAAAACGAAGGAGTTGGGTTCCCTCCGTCGTGCACGCTGTGCTGGGTTGAGTTTACACACAGATCAGGTCAAACAAACATGATGTCACTTTAAAAGCCTTCACTAGAGAGGGGTTTAAATTATTTCCCAGCTGCACACACCAACTAGCCGGCTATGGAAACACCACGGTTTTACTGGGAAAATCAGACCAATGTACCAAATATTCCCTCAAAACAAGCCTACAAATTAGACAATTTGCCTAATTTCAGCCCGCGGCTGAGAGAATCGTGACTAGATTTTAATAACTTTGTTGATTTTGATAATCATTTATGCTATATTTAACATTTAGTTGATGCATCCTTATATTCCTTAGAATTTATTTTGTTTGCACTTTTTTTTTGTCCGTTTACATTTACTGCATGCTCAGTGGCCTAGTGGTAGAGTGTCCGCCCTGAGACTGGGAGGTCAGGGTTCGATTCCTGGTCGGGTCATACCAAAGACTTTGGAAAAAAAGGGACCCAATGCCTCCCTGCTTGACACTCAGCATTAAGGGGTTGGATTGGGGGGTTAAACCACCAAATGGTTCCCGAGCGCGGCTTGTCTGCAGCTCACCGCTCCCCCAGGGGACGGGTCAAATGCGGAGAACAAATTTCGCACACACATCAGTGTGTGTGACAACTAATGGGACTTTAACGTTAATATAGATAAGAGCTGGGGACTAGAACTGGTAAAGGGTTAAACTGAGTCGGCCCTTGCAGCGTACTTCATCTACAGGAGTTGATCTTTGTAGGTTCGTATTTGGGCTGAAGTAGGTTTGGACCGTCGGATGTTCCCATGATGATGAGAAGAGAATAGCTTCCTTAAAGTCCCAGATGACGTGTGGTTCTTTTATGGCTTTTAGGAATTCATGGCAACAAGTGGAATCGCAGAGCGAATGTGCGGGAGTCCCAGCAGATCTGAAAGAGATGGTTTTCCGAAAGAGCAGCAGGGTTCCTGAGCTGGGTGTTCACGTCTGAGTGGAAACAGAGCTTTCTGCTTTTGGAACCACACCTTACTCATCTTTACTTTCTTGGCAAAAGCCAGCCTGGAGCCTGGAGCAGCAATAGAGAACATCCCAAACCCTGAACAAAAGCTCAGGAGGAGCCTAATAAATGTGCATCTTGGATGATCTGTTTCTTTCTCTTTGTTGTTGTTTGACTCTGCACTCAGTGTTTAGCAGGCAGCAGAGAGCGTTGTGGATCCAGGAGCTCCTCCTCCTCTCTCAGCTGGTGCAGCACACCGTCACCTGCTAACTAGAGGCTCTCCTCACCATCCCCACTCTACACGGCATCCTTCCTGAAACAGCTGAATAATGAAGGTTTTCCTCGTTTTAATGCAATTTAAAAAGCATCTGACACCAGAGAGTGCACTACTAACGGTAAGAAAACATCCCTGTAGAGGACCAGGAGGCTCAGAGGAACCAGGTAAGGAAGCCCCGCCCCTTTAGAAGCCCTATAGCTCAGGTAGACCCCACAGAAGAAAAATCAGTCAGAGCTGAAACACATTTTTGTTTTCTTTGATGTTTTTGAACACAACCACATTTGATTTGTGGCATTTTCACATATTTTTAAATCAGAAAACCTCACCCCACCCCCAGCCACCCATTGTTTATTTATTTACTTATTGTAAAACTGAAATTGTACACCTACATGTAGGCTATTTTGTTCTGCAGATCCACTCACCTCTGTAGGACGTAAAGTTTTGCCTCAACTTCCCTCAGACTAGAGTAATGGCACAACCGGGCTTCTGTAGGCTTAATTTATAACTGACATGAAAATGTGTTCTCTTTAAAAACTGAAGATGTAGGGTCTTTTTAACATCTCAGCAACAGTTTTCCAAGTGGATGTAAGAGACACAGGTGCCTGGTTTCCACGGTGAACACAATGAGCCACTGGCAGCAGCTTTAACATTTCTGTTTTATTAAACAGCTTTTGCATCCAAACATTGGTTTTGTCTCTCATCAAAGATTATTATACAGTTGGTGTTCGTGTTTCAGGCAGTAGACTGTTGCAGTGTGCAAAACCGCAGAGATTTTTGGGGTTGTGACCAAAATAAACCATCATTTCAGTAACGTGTCCCATGTGCTACAGGAGTCAGGAGACCAAATGTGTGCATGTGACAGAAAAACTGCCCCACCCAGGTGATCAATGCTTTTGCACAACATGAGTTTAAGAACAAGGGAAGGAAGGAAGGTCTGAACCCAACATGAAGACTCTCCGATCCAAAAGCCCATTTTCAGCTCAAGCTAGATGCTGATGAGATGCTGGAGCTCCTGAAAAGTTTACATCCGTTACTGGCTGGCTCCTTCTCTCTCTGTCTGCATCTCTTTTCTCTCATGCATGCAGATTTGGTGGTAATCCGACTCTAAACTCTACCCTCAGGATCGCCTGCAGAAGCGAATAAATTCTGCTGTAACAGGAGAAGAAAAACCGACCAGGACAGCATCCTTCTTACAAAACCTCCTGATCTGAGTCCATATCTCAGTGACGCAGAAAAGGTCATGAAAGATTCCCTGTTTGGTATAAAACGGCTCAAAAACAGGAGACCGTTGGAAAAGTTGGATCTTTGCGCCTTGGAGAACCCAGTGCGCGCGGCGCACTGCTGGCGCGCCAGATCCAAGTCTGATCAAAGACGCGGTTCTGTCTCTGCGCTGACTCCAAAGTAACCAGAAGCCCCCGGAACCATCATTCAGCCAGGAGCATTTAGAAAAGAATGAGCCACCTGTGCGTGCGTCCGTGCGCTCTGCCAGCCAAGCGCGTCTTACCTGAGGACGGGAGGGCAGGTTTGTATCCCTTCTCGTTGGTGCACACTCCTCTGCCGTGGAGGAGCGCGTGCAAGGGCTTCTCCTCTCCGCTCCTCGGCAGGCAGCGGAGCCCCTTGGTGCAGGTCCCGGTGTAAACGCCGCACGCCTGCCCCTCGACCAGGGCGCACGTCAGGCAGCAGCCGCAGCCCGGCTCCTTCACCAACTGGCACCCCACGGGAACCGGGGGACACATGGACAGCGCCTTCTCATCACAGGGCTCGCAGGGGACGTATGATGCCCTGCACCGGGACACCTCCAGGATGAAAGTCACCAAGAGGCAGAAACTCAGAAGCATCGTCCCAGTTAAAACGCGCCGGTCTAAACGGACGCACCGTCTCAGGCAGATAATCCGATCTTTACAGTTTGAGCCAACAGTCCTGAGCCAAGAGTTCCGCTATCTGCTCAAAAAACGCAGTAATGTCAGGCTTTGCGCTCCGCGAACAAAAGATAAAAAATATTACATATAGTGAGAAATAAAGAATTGTGTGGAGGTGGTGACCTCAGCAGGCGCATCGGTTTCAAATCGGTCCCCCTCTTCAGTACTTTCTCCACCACAGGTTTCCTGAGCAGACTGATCAACTGGAGACCTGCCTTGCCTTTAAACCCCCAAACAGAAGAAGGGAGGCGCACTTGTTCAGGCGGCTGGCAGGAGTCCAACGGGTTTTTTTTTCTGCAGCAGGAGGATTGCTCTTTCACCCTGAAGGCTGAGCTGATGTCGACAAGGAGCTGCAGCACAGAAAACAAAATCCAAAATAACAAAGTGGCAGCAGGTCATTTTGGAGTTTGTAGACAAGACAATTATTTTAACAGAAAAGTCAAATAAAAATAAGTTACACTTTTAAGGAGGATGATGAATTATCTTCAGGGGGTTTGGTTTTGTTGCAGATTGAACCTTTATTCCTTTCTTTGCAGAATATTTGGATTAATTTAGACTTTTCCACGCGTTTGGGTCATTCAGGTCCATGCATTTTGGTTAAATCCCGCCTGGAAGTCGCTCCACCTCCGCTGCACCTGTTGCTTCCACCGGACACCGCGGAGCCAGGAGGGAAATCCACCAAACGGCTGCTCCAACCGCCTCTCACGCACGGAAGACTGCGTGTCACGAATTCTTAGATTTCAGACTGACAAGTGGAGCTGGGTTGTTATTTTACAACCTGCATGCATGCAGATGCAGAGAGCGGCCACCTGATTAATTCAGCGTGTGCTGAACTTAAGCCAAAAAAAAAAAAAGCTCAATAGCTGCGCTTTCACCTCGTCCCTGCGCGCAGATTCAGGCGCACGTTTTTATTGCCTCCGTACTGCAGCATGAAAGCTGTTAGGCTAGTTTCTGATCACTGCATGATGTTTTATTATGTTCTGACTGAAAAGAGCAGCCACTAGGAGGCGCTGTTAACAACATTTATTCTCTTCTGAAGAGCAACTCTTCTAAAAGCCACATTTTAGCATTAAATTCAAAGTTAAAGCTGTGATCTGAATAGATTAAAAATGAGCGTGGAGATAATGTTTTTATAATAATGTCATAGTCACCAAACATAGGCTGTTTCTGGTATTTTGTTTGTGAAACACTGTTTTTGTCATTTGTTAATCATGACTACATTTTTTAAAACAAACGTGTTCCCTTCCCTTTTGGGTTTTCCTCCTTTTCCTTCACATTCCTCTATAGATGATGTCACCTCCCTTTTGTTTTGCTCTCCAGCATCAACATATGAGCTTTTCTTTCTTTTTTTTTGTTTGTTTGTTGTTTTTTTTTTTGTAGAATTTCTTACAATTAAAAAAGTGCCAAAAATGAACCTTGCAGCCGTAGAAATCAACGTGTGACAAAAACCTCGCAGCAGGAGTTTCTCGGCTCCTTCCAAAACCAAAAAGGATTGGCAGTGGCCTTAAATCTGAGCTACTTTTGTGATAATGAAGAGATTAAGACAATAAAGCAGTGGGGGTTAATGATGCTTCTCTATGGGGCGAGGATGGACAGGTACATAAAAAACACTCCACAAACACTTTGGAGTGTGTATTCTACACATTATGATCTCAGAGGGAACTCAGTGTTCCAGCCCCGTTCTTCCCCTCCGCTCTCATTCTTTGCTCGATGCAAATCCTAATTCCCCAAGGATCTGTTCATGCATCAATCCATCTGTTCCTCCCTCAGCACCACCCTCCTCCCATTCAAGCATCATTCTGACTTAAAGAAACACCAGCGAGCTTTCGTGCTGCTTTAAAGTGCAAACTCATGTCTGAATGTCTTTGGGTGGTGTCAGGAGCTGAATGCCAGAGGACTCGTCACTGAGCACTGCAGCCTCCCAGACTGCATAACTTTTGGGATCTGCTCACATCCAGCCAGACACACACACACACACACACACGCACACACACACACACACACACACACACACACACACACACACACACACACGTACACACACACGCACGTACACACACACGCACACACACACACACACACACACACACACACACACACACACACGCACGTACACACACACACACACACACACACGTACACACACACGCACGTACACACACACGCACACACACACACACACACACACACACACACACACACACGCACGTACACACACACGCACGTACACACACACGTACACACACACACACACACACACACACACACACACACGTACACACACACACACACGTACACACACACACACACACACGTACACACACACACACACACACACACACACGTGCATGTACACATACACAAACTATTGCAAGCGCCTTAACTAGAGCTCAGTCAGTTTGTGTAATTTATCCAACGGTTTACGTAAAAACTAACTTTTATATACGTGTTTGAAGCCATTGTGCAGTGGAGCGCTGGCAACAGAGCTCTGCCTGATCAACACTATAAATGATAAATGATCCACACTTGTAAAGCGCCTCTCAGAGTAAGGACTCCAAAGAGCTTTACACTACAGTGTATCATTCATCCATTCACACACATTCACACGCTGATGGTGATGAGTAGTCACAGGGGCGCACTGACAGAGGCGCTCCACTATTTAATTCAGTCATTTGTTATTCTCCCAATCAATTACTAACCAGAACCTCATGCTTTATGCAAAACATTAAATGATTTTCAGCATACCGATCTTTACAGAAAACATAAAAGCCCTAAAAACTGCACATAGAATATAATAAGAAACAATATTCACTCATCACTTAGAGCAGTGGTTCCCAAACTTTTCAGCCTGACCAACAGATGTTCCTTCGTATTTTTACGTTATTTATACATTTTCATTATATATAGAAAGTTTTAATTTATATATAAATATATAAATCTCTTTTTAAAGTTTATATTTTACTTTTTTTATGATTATGTGACACACTTGACTTCCATACATAACGCATCAGCATCTGCCTCTTTTTCACGGCTTTTTTTTTTACATTGTTGCTACGTCTGTCACGTTCGCGGTGTTTTACCATCATTTCTACATCCATCACGTCCCAGAGAAGGTTAAACCAACATCAAACCCAACGTTTGGAGCTTGTAAACTCCACACACCTCTCGTGCAGCACCAGCTGTCTGATGCTGCAGCAGCGTCAATCTTCCCGGCTGGATGAGTGAATTTCTTCATCAGAGTCAATAATCTGCTTCATAATCAGAGTCAGTCATGACCAGACAAAGCGATCAGTCAACAAAGACCAGACCTGCCAGCAATTATACGTTTTATCTAATTTTGCGCTCTTCATGCTGCACGCATCTCCTCTTCTCCCCGACTGGGAGCCTCTCGGCGGGAGGTGTTTTTCAAGCTCTAAAAACTCCCAAACTTTGCTCAGCCTGAAGGTTCCACATCTCTACTATCTTCTGGTGTACAGTAGTAACTTCATGAGGGATCATATTTGTAGATGAGACTTGTTAAAGTCAGCAATGAGGCTTTGGCACTTATAACGAGTAAGTCCCAACACTGACAACAACGTACTGAAACTAGAACCAACACGCATAAACAGACAGATCGGTCCCGCCTACTTACACTGTTGGTCTTTTATAAAATACGCAGTAATCGTTGCTCGCCTTTTTCGCTTCATCCTGCATCCTAGCAGCAACCACTTTGGTGCCTCTGGAGTCAGTGTTTGTTTACGTCATGCTGCATTCAATGTCATTTGAAAAATGAGCTTCAAACGCTTAACCTCCGATTTTGTTTTCTTTCTGGCCTTAGTTGGGGGGAAGGATCGGGGTCGATCTGAATCTGGGGGGGGCAGATCCCCCCCATCCCCCACCCTATCTGCGCGCCTGGGCAGCCCTAGGTTTGTCATGACTCCGATAGCAGAGGGGAAGAAACTGTTCTTGTGGAGAGAGGTTCTGGTCCGAATGGATCTGAGCCTCCTGCCAGATAGGAGTGAGTCAAAGACTGTTCAGGGTGACATGGGTCAGCTGACCTAACCTGCACCTCTCAATGTCCTGGAGGTGTACAGGTCCTGTATGGAGGGGAGCTTGCAGCCAATGACCTCAGCAGAGCGTACAACCCTCAGCCATCTCCCAAAACAGCGGGAGGAAAACTGTTGATAGAACTGTGGAAAGTTTTAAAGCAAATCTCCATGTTTTGATGCTTATAAGCTGGATATTCTTGAAGACATTAAGTGGTTTCATTTAATGACTCTTCAAACATTCAGAAGTTGTTTTTGTTTGAACTTTAACAGCTTAAAAATATATTTTGCTGTATTTGTACTTCACCATGGAGCATCTTGTGCAGCAAAGAAAGTAGACAATGTCATAAGTTCCAAGAGCAAATTTATTGCCTGTGTTGACACAATACTGGCTCATCCCTTGAGTTATGGAGCTTGATATGGCTAGACAATTCATAAATAAACGTGAGAAATATTCCTCTGAACAAGAACTATGGGTCAAGTTCAGTTTTAAAGGCCAAATTCACTTATGTTTTCAACACATTTGCAGTGGTCTCTAGTATAAATGAATGCCTGTTGTTCTCTGTGAGAAAAAGCTCTGGCGCTCCTGTTTCAGGAACTAGAAGTTAGCCAAAGGAGAGGGTTGCAGAAGATGGCAGGATTTGGTTGCAACTCTAACACTGAGTCTGGTTCCTTTGCAACGTTGATGTTTCATCTCCACAAATAACACCAGTCGGAAGGAGTTCTGCCGTGTTGTGGAGTTGCTAATGCTAATGCTTAGCTTCTACTTGCCAAGACATGCTCTGTTCTTTCCTGGAGGCTAAATCAACAACAGCCTTCCCCTTCATGAGCCAAGATGGGTGAGTCTGTGACTGCAAGTGTTGAGTGTGACATAGATCTGACTGGCTTTTCTAATCTGAGGGTTTCCTCGTCTGTTTTCTATCGACGACTAACGCAGGGAATAGGGGTAGAAGCCTGTTTACGCGTTCACCCAGCATGTTAAACTCAGAATGAATGATCGTATTAAAAAAAAAACCATTCTGGTTGAACCTGCTCTGTAAATAAAAAAGGTGAGGAAGATTTCATAAAAACGAGTGACTGGTGGAGGCTTTTCGCTGCTCTAAAGGGCAAAAGTTACTTTCATGAGAAATTAATTGTCTTTTAAGTGAGCAAAGCTTTTGACAGAGCATCTGGGTTGGGGCTAATTATTATTGGGCTT